GTTTATCACGCAGATAAACTCCAATCATAGCCCTTCCCATAGCACGCTGAGCGACTTTGAGCTTCCTCATACGGCCGGCAGTGAAGGACCACTTCTCAGATCCATAGGTCATCACTGGCACCAAGCACTGGTTGTAAAATCAAGTTTTGGGATTTTGAGGTGTGCCTGACGAAAAGATGTGTCGCAATCTCCCAAAGGCTTTGAGTTGGATCCTTCGATTGACCTCTCGGTCAAAGTTGGATTTACCCAGTTGGACTACTTGTCCCTGGTAAATAGACTCGTCAACAACTTCGATATTAGTGCTCCCAACAACCACCGGCATAGGTTGGACATTATACATGACTTTCGTTTTGTTCATATTCATCTTAACCTCTCAAATGCCAAGCGTCCAAATTTGACCGCTTCGATATTCCGTCAAAATTCAAGAGGTCAAATTTGGCCGCACCCACCCACAGCACTTTAACCCATAAATACTTATGTTTAGAGACTACTTTTCTATGAAGAAGTTTGGCATTATATAATCAATATGAAATTTTTTATCCTCTAGTGGAATAAAAGAACTGTTATTCTATGGATATTAATTTATATTCTACGTTCATTAAGTACGCTATTTTAATTTGGATGTTTTGTTACTAAACTTAGTATATATACAGTAATCTATGATATATACCAACATGTTTGGCTGTATATTATTGAGTTTTGATAAACAATAAAATTCAATAGTGTTGTCGAGTTCCTTGTCTATAATACTTATCGATGTTATCTGTTAATAAACAAAGTCGCCAGAGTCGAGAGAACAACAGATGATTATCAAATGTTTATTAATTAACAGGTTTCCAACAGAACCTAGACTAAAATTATGGCTTAAAAGCATAAATATTGTGAATTGGAGTCTGTAACAAAATGATCATATTTGTTCCGAACATTTCACAGACGACTGTTGTGCAGTATTTCGAATATATTTTCTGGTAGTACCAGTACCAGTAAGTATAAAAGTATTAGATTGTTGTTTATTATTTCTTCTTTCCTCATTTTCCCCCAAACTCAAGGGCCATAGCCAAGTGTCGGAAGGTCACCTGATGATGTCGAGCCACGTTGGATGTGTGTTAGTGGGCTGCGGCTAGAGGAAATTCCTCTCCCAGTACCGCTGTAGTCGAGGTGGAGTCTTCAGGTAAGAGGAGTGTTGGTATGGCGATTGGCGATGCGATGCCACTCGACTATCCTTCGCGACTTTGTTGAGGTTGCACCACTAGATGCTTCCAAGTGCTTGTTTTTTCCTGGATTCATTCACATATCGGGCTCGGGGATCCCGTAGTGCAGGTGGAGTCAGAGGCCGCATAGGACAGTGTGCCTTGTGTTTCTGGTGCGCCTTATCTGAGAAGAAAACGGGGGCTAGAAGTCAGTAACTAAGGAGGAGCTGCCATTGAAAGCGTTTCCGTGGCCACGGATGTGCATGAAAGCGTTTCCGTGGCCCTGTCAATTTGCGGCGGAGGTAGAACATCATGGGGTTTTAGTAAGTGCGAGTCTATCATCATCATCATTACAGCCCTTCACAAGTCCACTGCTGAACATAGGCCTCCCCCATTTAATTATCTCTCAAGTTTCAAGATTTAATTTGTGCTTTAACTTCGTAGTGGCCATACTTTATTTTATTTCTTGTTTACGAATTCTGGCCATCGTTTACATTCACGGTTTTTGGCAACGTCCTCTTTCGCAACATTCACCGACAAAGGCAATTAAGTGTTCGATCAAGAACTTATGGATTACGATATGTCAAGCCCCCTAGAATACGTGGAACTGCCGAAGCTGGAAAGCTTAGGAGAATAAACTTAGGAATGAGGATATCAGCAGTAGAACCAGAGTGACTGACACCGCCCAATAGATTAGTAAGCTGAAATGGCAATTGACCGGCCATATAGCTCGAATAACCGATAACCGATGGGGAAAAAAGATTCTCGAGTGGCAGCCTCGTACCGGCAGGTGAACTGTCGGAAGTTCCCTCACTAGATGGAGTGAAAACCTGGTAAGACATATAGGAAGTTGATGGATTCTAGTGGCTCAGGACCGTGCTTTGTGGCATTCCTTGGGGAGGCCTGTGTTCAGCAGTGGACTTGTGAAGGGCTTTAATGATGATAAATGATAGTGGCATTATATTAATATGATACATAAATAGAATGGACGTTACGGGTAGAGTCCATTTATCCAAAGAGTCCATTCTATTTATTTAGGTATAGGTAGGGTATAGTTCAATTCCGTCCTCCATGGTGGCACTACTCCGGAGGCGTGGAGCAGAAGTGCGGTGGTTTTGTTCTTTAAGAAAGGCGACAACGCTCTCTTGAAGAACTACAGACTGATTTCCCTTCTGAGCCGCGTCTACGTGCTGTTTTCGAGAGTCATTACGAATCGTCTCGCACGCAGACTCGACGACTTCCAGCCTCCCGAACAAGCCGATTTCCGAAAAGGCTTCAGTACCATAGACCACATACATACCCTGCGGCAGATTGTACAGAAGACCGAGGAATACAATCTGCCACTTTGCCTGGCGTATGTGGACTTTGAGAAAGCCTTTGATTCCGTCGAAATTTGGGCGGTGCTACAGTCCCTTCAGCGGTGCCAAGTTGACTGTCGGTATATCGAAGTGCTAAAGTGTTAGTACAGTAGGGCTACGATGGCTATCCGAGTACAGAACCAGAGTTCGAAGCGTATCCAACTGCAGAGAGGTGTAAGACAGGGTGACGTTATATCCCCGAAACTCTTCACCGCTGCGTTGGAAGACGTTTTCAAGCTATTGGACTGGAAAAGATACGGTATTAACATCAATGGCGAGTACATCACTCACCTTCGATTTGCCGACGATATAGTCCTTATGGCAGAATCGCTGGAGGACCTTAGCACTATGTTCAATGACCTCAATGGTGTCTCACAAAGGATAGGTCTTAAGATGAACATGGACAAAATAAAGATCATGTTTAATCTCCATGTCACACCTATGCCGGTAGTTGTTGGGAGCACTATGCTCGAAATTGTTGACGAATACGTTTACCTGGGACAAATAGTCCGACTAGGTAAGTCCAACTTCGACCGAGAGGGTCAATCGACGGATTCAACTCGGCTGGGCAGCGTTCGGGAAATTACGACACATCTTCACGTCAGGTATACCTCAATCTCTGAAAACTAAAGTGTACAACCAGTGCGTGTTGCCAGTGATGACTTACGGATCACAGACGTGGTCCCTCACCGCTGGCCGTATGAGGACGCTCAAGGCCGGTCAGCGAGCTATGGAGAAGGCTATGCTCGGAGTTTCTCTGCGTGATAGGCTCAGAAATGAGGATATCCGCAGTAGAACCAGAGTGACCGACATAGCCGAACGGATTAGTAAGCTGAAGTGGCAATGGGCCGGCCATATAGCTCGAAGAACCGATAACCAATGGGGAAGAAAGGTTCTCGAGTGGCAGCCTCGTACCGGTAGGCGTAGTGTAGGGCGACCCCCCACTAGATGGAGTGACGACCTGGTAAGACATGCAGGAAGTCGATGGATGCAGGTGGCTCAAGACCGTGCTATGTGGCGTTACTTGGGGGAGGCCTATGTTCAGCAGTGGACTTGTGAAGGGCTGTAATGATGATGATGATGAGGGTATAGCATCTTTATCGATATTTTTTGTCACACTGTCTTGTCACTATTATTAGTTCCGTCGACGTGCACTTCTGCTATCAGCGCCAAAATGGCGCAAATCAAATTGCCTTATCATGTCACGGTGTATAGCCAGTCCAGCGTACTTGTATATATAGAGGTCAGTGGTTCAATTACATATCTGTCGATGTGACATAATTTACGTCATTTTAGAGATATCTTATCAGGCCTTGTCAATTAATGTATGGGATCTCCGCTAGGAGTAAAATTATTCTGTGTATCATATAATGAAAGAAACGTTTTACTACAATTAATTTTATTGATGTAGGTATTTAGGTAAAATAAATATATTATTAATAATATAAACAAAGTATTGGAAATAGTACGGTACTTAACAAATTTTAATATGTCTTTTATTGAGAAACTAATTTATACAGGATATACAATTATGTCTATTCAACTTCGAACAATTCAATAATGAACTTAGTTTTGGTCATTTCCTGGACATATTGCAGAATTTATAAGTTACTAAATATTATTTAAAACGAGGAAGGAAGAAAGTTTAACATGGTTTAAATGCCTGCGCCCTCCTTTCTGCCAAGGAGGGTCGCGTTCGTATACGGCTTAGAGATCTCTAGTCAGATCGTTAAGCCAGTTCCTAAAAGGTTGGGTTTAGTGGGTAAAAGTCACCACATAACCACGCAGCCGGCTGCGTGGTATGCTATGAGCATTCCCAACCTCCCTCCCCCCGCTTTCCGGAGGGTTGCCCGTATTTGCTTCGGGCGCAAAAAAAAATGGTTTAAATGCAATACAAAATATGATTTTTGTTTAAGTTTGTGTAAAAAGTAATGAATGCTATGTTACATTATGAATATATTTTCTGTTACTAAGAACTGTACTGGGGGTGGAAAGGCGTAACAATCAAAAAGTGAATTCCGATTATCCACCCTGTCTAAGGTGGATAAACGGAATAACCCCTAACGTTAGTTAATACTAAATATATGAAGAGTATTTAATCACCTAATCACCAAGTATTATAACTACGTTTTAATACCAAGTGATTATGGACTATGTGAAACTACGTTTCAATAAGTTTTAATACTAGGTAATTAGGTGATTTATACTCTTTGCCTAGTATCATATTAAAGGTTAAGTCGTGGCTTAAAAGACAAGTATCCAAGCCTAAAATCTAATTAAGGTAGTTATTTTTTAACGTAAATGTCAACTTCTGTTTTCTGTGAGAAAAAACGCGGGAACCTTGAAACATGATAGGCGCCTTTTTTTAAATTAAAATTTTAATTTTGTTTTGTTTAGTTAAGACACTAAACTTTTATTGTTTTGTCGTTATTGGGTTTCCTCATCATGGGGAATGATGGGGAAACGTAGTAAAAAAAAGTTGCCGGGAGAAGAAGTCTTTGAAGAAACAACTGAGGAGGAAGAAGTTGACACCAGTGCTGAGGAAGATTCTGAGAAAGAGCAACGCAAGTATAAGCCGTACTTTGTATCTGACTACAACAGGAGGTACCCTGAGGACTCTGTCCTCGTGGAATTTGTTGTCTTTGTTGAATCAAATGATGAAAGACCAATCGGCACACGGGACATGAAGTCTCTGTCCACACATATGAAGAGGTTCAATAAAGGCATTAAATATTTGCAATCTATGAATAAATACAAAATAGGCATTAATTTTGAAAAGCCCTCTCTAGCGAATGCATTTTTAAATAATGTTACGTTTCTTAATGAATACAAAACGAAGGCATCTATCCCAGCTGTAGGGACAGAAATATCAGGAGTCATAACTAATGTTCCCACTAATCTTTCTAATTCAAGAATTTTTGGTATGTTAACGGCACAGGTGTAACGTTGCACGTACATGTATGCATAATTATAATTAAACGGTTTATTAAAATTAAATAAACATTTAATAAACTAAATAAAAATAAATTAAAAGTTATTAACAAAAATAATTCTATAATTAACTTAGGTATCCTATTAATAAAACAAATCAGTAAACTAAAAGAACGAATTAAATAATAAATCAAATATTAAAATATTGTATTTCGAACAAACACTCTGACGCTTCGTTACTCTATGCGCCTTGCAACTCTCGCGTCAGAGTTTTACCCGGCCGGTATTATTCCACGGCGTCGCGCTCCCGACCATTCTCCGCCCGAGCGCCCTGGGAGGCGCACACTACCACTGCAGCCGCGTTCACAAGCTCTGCTTTGTGTCCTCGTACGCGCTTGCAAATTTTAATCCCATTTTGGAAAAAGTTTAAAATAATATAATAATTCCGGCACTGTGGCCGTATAGTTTTTTCGTTAATTCTCGTCACCGAGACCTCCGTATCGTCTTGCACCCCGTAAGGGTAAGTGTTGAAACGTTACCTAGTTTTAAGTAGTGAAAGTGTTTTATAGGTAGTGTAATTTGATCATGCCAGGCTGTTTGCTTTTAGCTATTTAATTGCCACGTTATTAGTGTTATTTGCATGTAAGTAATGTATGTAGCCGCTGTGCGCGTTGGCAAAAGTACCGTTACAAAATGGCGTCTCATACATTTCGCACCGCGATCAAATATCGCAAGTCACCATCATGTTTCAACCAATGCACAGCCTAAATTAGTTATCTTGGTACATTTAAACAGTATTTTACACTTGCCGTAATTTTAATTCATGTGTATTTTAATTGCGCCTCACCGCTATGACGCTTGCCTTCCATTCCGCCTTGTAACTCCGTTCTGATTATGAACACCCGCCAGCTACTCTCTGTGCTCCCATCTACTGCTAGCCTGCGATATACCGGGGGTTCATAATCGGCGGCATTTTATTACCTGGACCTAAATTTGGACGACGTTGTTTCCAGGGTGCAATTTTACGACTACAACCGTGGCGGTCGCCCCTTTTTTTAAGAGGGCCTAGGCCTCCCCTCGACGCCGCCACCGCCACAGCCAGCTGCCCACGGCGCTCCCCGTGAACAGTCCAACCCCCCGGCCCTGCTCGACCACCTCGCGGCCACATAGGGGAGTACCTGACCCTGCCAGTGAAGCCAGACGGGCACTTTTTTTTTAAAATTATCGGAACCACGCCCACGACCTTTTCTTTTACCAATATACAATTTTTTTTTATGACTGGTTGTTGCCTTATTTTAAACCCCGACCGCCACACTGGCGCCCATAAACGTGGTAAAAAAAGGTCTGGTTTCACTGCGTAGGAGTAGTTGGTGTTTGTGTCGTTTTGTGTTTGTGAAACGTTTTTGTTTTTTTTGTTTTTTGGTTGCAGCAACTAATGTGTACGAATTTCATTATTGTGTTTGTTTTAGGAATTTTATTGAATTTCAATTGATTTATTTATTTACTTTTATTATTTGAGAGATCATAAACTTTAATCCCTAACTAAGAATTTGTTTAGTTTCGAACAACTTTTCGTAATCACTCTATGCCGTGCACTACCCTATGTTGTTTACGTTCTATCATTGTACAGAGTAGTTAGCGTGCAGAGTGGTCACTGTGTAATCTGTGATAGGGTAAATTTAATATTGTTCCGAGGTATTACTATTCTATTCTGCAGTAGGTTTTTTTTTCTCGTGGTTTTTTTTTCTGTGATATCATTATTATTGAAATTTTATGAATTGTAACTATTCCCTATTGTTGCTGCAGAACTCTAGTTCAGTTGAGTCACGCATGCGTTGGTAGTATTTTAAATTATTCAATCAATTGTTTTTTATTTTAATTCTTAGGCATATTATTATTATCTTGTTGTTGTTTTATTTAATTGTTCGAGTACACATTAGTTGCGTATTTTAATTTTTTGTTGCGCTGCTTCTTTTATTTTGGTGGCAGTTGCTTTATTCTTTTTACTGCTTCTTTTATACGCCAATCGTTTTAGTCAACCAGAACGTTCTTAGTACCTGATATTATAATTGTAACGGAACGGAGTAGATTAAGTCAGTAACGACTCAACACTTACCTCTTTGCGGTTATACGCGTGTTATAATGGCGCACTCGGTTAAATTCCTATCGTTGCAAAAGTCGGAGTTAGAATACGAAGTTGCCATTAGAGGTGCCACCCCGGCTGACACAGTCAGAGAGTTACGCGAGCAGATTGCTAAATTAGGTCCACTCTTTCCTTCGGAGGACATTCTCGAGAGCGTTTTGTCTGTCGGCGATGATTTAAAGGGAGTCAGCGATGCTTTAATTAAGCTAAGAGCATATATCGAGGCGCCTAGCGATGGGAATGCGTTGCTTCGTGCTCGCAACCTCATTAACCACCTCCATCATCGACTCAACCGTATAGTTTGTGATAGCACGACCCAGCAAGGGGTGGTGGATACGTGTGTTTCGGAATACAGGCAACTTTTGGAACGCTATAATGCTATTACTGCTACTGATTCCACCCCTTCTCTGGCATCTAGAGACCCTCAGTCTACTGCTGCTTTACCTCTCAACGTTAACGTAACTTGTGAGCGCGGCGTGGCTAGTGAGTTCACTAAGTTTAAGTTCGACGGCAAATCTTGCGTTCGTGCATTTATCCAGCGCATCAATGAATACAGCCAGTCGAGGAATATACCGGGGGGAAAAACTGCTGTCTTACTGCGCTGAGATTTTTACCGGCGATGCCTTGCATTGGTATCGTGCCATTCGGGACCAGGTATCTAATTGGGACGAGTTAGTTTCCCTTCTTAGAGAAGATTTCGACCAGGCCGATTATGATTACAGACTCTTGTCGGAGATTCGGGCCAGAACTCAGGGCGAGTCTGAAAATATAACTATTTACATTTCTATTATGACTGGGCTATTCTCACGTTTGTCCAAGAGCCTGTCTAACGAAGACAAACTTGAGATCATTTTACATAACATCCGCCCATGCTACGCCAGCACCTTAGCTTCTGTCCCGAAGATCTCAGACCTCGACACCTTGCGTTCGCTCTGTCGTAATTACGAGAACATTCAGGCTCGCCTAGTGGGATTCCACGAACCTCCGAAGGTCTCTTCAGGAACACTGGCGCCAGAGTTTGCTTACGCTGGTCAGTCTGCAAGTAGGTTTAATCAAGGCAGCGGCCAAAGTTTCAATAAAAGACCTTACAATAACTTTTACAATAAAAGCAACAATAATTACAATACAGGTAATAAAACTTATACTAAAAATGATAATTATGTGCATGCGGTGCAACAGCAGTACCAAAAGTCTCCTTATTGTCCTAGGTGTCGTAATAACACCCACAACCTTCGTCAATGCAAAGCAAATAGGGATAGAATATTTTGTTTTGTTTGTGGCCAGGAAGGCGTCAAGTCACCAGACTGTCCGAAGTGTGGCAAGGATAAACCGAGCACTTCAAAAAAACTGATAGACCAGCAGAATTGTACTGAAGTCCTGCCACCCAAGTTTGACCAAGAGGATTGGCAGAGCTGGCTTAACACTGTTAATGTTTTCTTCAATTCTTATAAAGTTGATACAATTCTGCTGGACAAACCATTGCATGATCCTAGACCTTACGCTTGTGTACAAATCAATGATTTTAAGCTATTTGGCCTCTTAGATTCAGGCTCAGCTGTGTCCATTTTAGGTGATAAAGCTTATAGGAAGCTAGAGGAGCGGGGTTTACAGCTGCATAGGGACAACTTAATTACAGTCACGGCTGCTGGGGGTCAATCTATGACCAGCATTGGCTATATGTTTCTCCCTATAAACTTTGAGAATGAGTACCATATAATTAAGTCATTTGTTGTGCCAGACATCAATATTGATCTCGTGTTGGGGATCGATTTTTGGCGCGAGTTTAACATTTTTCCTAGACATTTCTCAAGCATTACATTTTCTAATGCCGCAGTATTGAATGCTAGCCTTAGTACCGATTCCACCACTTTCATACAAGCGTATGACCACTTAACTGTTTCGGAGAGATCAGTGGCGGATGACATCATTTCTCAATTTAGCGACATTTCCGCCGAACGTCGGGGTTTGGGCGAGACGAGTTTGGTCACTCACCGTATTGATACGGGAGATGCTGAGCCAGTTCGTCAAAGGTACTATAGGTTGTCTCCAGAGAAGCAGCGGATCCTTGCCGAGCAGGTCGACGAGATGCTGGCTCTGGACGTAATTGAGCAGTGCGAAAGTGCTTGGTCATCACCAGTTCTCATTGTTACGAAGAAAAACGGTCAGCCTCGGTTTTGCCTCGACAGCCGCAAGCTCAATTCCATCACGAAGCGCGACGCCTATAGTCTACCCTACATTTCAGAGATCTTGGATAATCTTCGCGATGCTCGCTACTTATCTAGTATCGATTTATCCAAAGCTTTTTGGCAGATACCTATAGCACAGGAGGACCGGGACAAGACTGCTTTTTATGTGCCTAATCGCGGTACCTATCGTTTTAAGCGCACTGCTTTTGGTTTAACTAACGCCCCGGCTACACAGCAAAGGTTGGTTGATCTGTTATTTAGGGAATTTGACCTCAAAGTCTTTGCATACCTAGACGACATTATTATCGTCTCAAACGACTTCAATTCCCATGTTTCCCTGTTACTTCGGGTTCTTAATAAGCTGAAACAGGCCAACCTCACTGTAAACCTAGAGAAATGTCAATTCTTCCGCAGTCAGCTCAAATACCTGGGTTACGTCGTTGATAGTAGTGGTTTACGTACCGATCCCGAGAAGGTGGAAGCAATCCTCAATTACCCGACACCTACATGTCGTAAGGACGTTAAGCGCTTCCTCGGGACTGCTACTTGGTATCGTCGTTTCGTCCCCAATTTTAGTACCATTGCAGGCCCCTTAAACAAGTTAACTTCGAGTAAGAAGGGTGGACCACCTTTTGTCTGGTCTGCCGAAGCTGATGCTGCCTTCAAGAAACTTAAGGAGTGTTT